AATCTCCTCAAAATACCTAACTCTGTTTTTAATCTCCTCAAAATACCTAACTCTGTTTTTAATCTCCTCAAAATACCTAACTCTGTTTTTAATCTCCTCAAAATACCTAACTCTGTTTTTAATCTCCTCAAAATACCTAACTCTGTTTTTAATCTTAAAATAAATTTTAAGGGTAATTGATTTCTGACAGAATTTTAAAAATGGATATATCACTTTTGTTTACAAGATTTTGAAAAAAAAAAAAAAAAATACTTTGATCTTTCCTTTTGATGACAAATATTTAGACAAAAAATTTTTGTTGTGTTTAAGACCTTTTTTGTTTTTTATCATGCTATGCTCATTTTCCAGCAATCTCATGCCACTCCCTATATTATACAATATTAGTTGAATCAAACGCAATAAATTAATAAATAGAAAGGTTTTCAAAATTTGTGAAAATAAAATTTGCTGTACCATTTTTTCTTAATGAAATTCAGCTGAAAATTCAATGATAGATATTAAATTATCAAACAACACTTTCAGAGTAAAAAGTAAATTAACAATACCAGAATACAGAGGAGGCCTATCAATGTTCCAGGATAGGAAACTAGCTTTTAGCTTTAATTTGAAATATTTCAATAAATTATAAACATTTTATTCTGGGTGCAGGCCAAATACTGATCATATTCGGTCAGTCACCCATCGAAGAAGTCTTGTTTATTTAGACCTGAAACTTCTAGTGACATGGGAGCAACAACGACGCATCTAGATTTGGCACTTAAAGGTGTATAAGTAGACAAATGCTGTTTTTTGAATGACCTCCACTACCAGATTATATGGTAAATACTAAAATTGGTACAAATTATCACCCCTAGGGCTTCTATTACTCAAATGGAAAGGCCTTTACTGTGATATTGGTCTTCAATTTCTTTCTCAACACACAGAAAAAACCTACAAAGCAAGGTTTGCATTAACATATTTCAAATTTTTACATAAATTAATTCACTAATTTGGCATAAATTTTCGATACCTAAGATTTAGAATGAATTCTTAAAAATGAAAATGCATTTTTGAAGATTTCTTTTTAACTTTAATTGAAAACTAAAGGATTAAATTCACTATTTCCAGTAAGCAAGATATTCTGGGTGTATTTCAAATAGAAATATAGATTAGAATATTTGCTAAATTTAAAAAAAAAAATAAAAAATTAACTGGTGATCATTCATTACATTTTAACAAGTCTTCAAATAAAATTTAATTATCCGTTTTAAAAATATTTACAAACAGAATAAAAAATTTTTTTTTAAATTTCAATATTTTTTTTTAAATACTGGAGTGGGGGTGGGGGGATTATGAATTGAATTAAAACCTTTTCCCCTTTATGATTAGAAAATATAGTTTTTACATCACCTAACCTCTACAAAGAAAGAATTTTAAAACATTTAAAATTTATAAATTATTATAAATGATGATTTAAATTCTCCAAGTTCAGCTTTTCACTAATACAAACATTAAGCTCTACAAATTCTCGAAATTTTATAAAATTTAACATATATAAAAAAAATAGGCTTTTATAGGTACCTCCATGAGATAGCTAGAAAAAGAGCATAGCATAATGAAAAAGACGCCAAACTTGACAAAAACAATTTTATCATCTAAATTTTTTTTATATTGAAGAAAAATTAAGTGTTATTGGGGTATTTCTTTACATTTTTTAATAGTTCCTAGCACATCAAAAATCTAGTTTTTATTTGAGTCAGCAAAATTGACAGATGGCAAACATTTTTTTCCATTTTATAAAAAAAGAAAGAAAACGAAAATCTCAGTTTAAAATTCTCTTAATATCAATTATTTTTTTCAAAACTTATTTTAAGAAAATCAGAAATTATGTTTTTATGCCATAAACTTTTGCATCACTTGACAGGTGATGAATGACATATTGCTGGATTACATGAGGATAATTTGTTCTACGGAAGGAGAAAAGTGAAATTATTTACATTTAAGTGAACAAATTATTTACCTAGTTATTTTTAAGGAAAACTTTCAGTGCTCTAATTTTTTGGTTTTTGTATTTAGCTTTCACATTTACGCTTTATAAAGAAATTAAAAAATGAGAGAGATTAAATTTCATAAGAAAGGTTATCTAATCAATTTATAGGTATCTTTCTTATAAAATTTTATCAGAAGTGTACATAAAATACTATAATTTCATGTACATTTATATTTTACTGTGTTATCTGTATTTCCATTTCTTTTATTATTAATTTTGATATTTCATTTATGGAAAAATGTCATAACTGAGATTAATATAAAAATAAGATCATATAAATTTCATAAAATGATATCGATACTTTTAGGTACACTTCTCAGTTGAAATTGAAAAATCAAATTAACTTCTTCACATGTGTTTCACAAAAGTAAAAGGCCTTAACAACGGAGAATAATGCAAATAACACAACTTAATTGTATTCTGGTCGGTCTTCCATACTTTATAATTACAACCCGATTATAAACACAAAATTACATTTCTTAATTACTGCAGGTCTTCTGATTAGTCAAAACGATACAATTTACAACGCGCTAAGAAAAAAAAAATCTCATAAGGACACTTAGGAAAATGGATGCGGCTTTTAACTAATTTTATATTTTAAAAACTTAAATGTAAAATTCTACTAGAATTAAAGAAAGAAATAATTGTATTAAAAATTAATTTTTCATCGAAAAAATTTTTTGCTTTCAGAAAATATTGTCTAAAAACAACTAAAAGCAATTGAAATTAAATAATGTATTTGTTTTGAATTTTGTATGTTACAATTCAGAGCTGATTTTCAGGTAGGGGGATCCAATTAAAAACAACAAAAAAATGATTTGCATTCCTCAAAGCCTTGTGTTTTTAACAATTTTAATTACTAAAGTGGACTCGATCGAATTTCTAGAGTTTTCATAAAATTAGTTAGGGGAGCGGTAATATAAAAAATATTTCTGCTATGACTTTAATAAAACAAAACATTTATAATAATTTCGATCATCTGAATAGTTTCTGAAAGTTTCATTAACATCTGACAATTATTTTTATTTTTGCAAGATTTTCCAAATTAAAAAAAAAAAAACTGCTAAAAATTGTATGTTATTTTACTAGATCCGGTGATACAAAGAGAAACAAGGATTTTTAAATGAAAATTCAGATTGTTCTAAGAAGGAAAATTTTTTTTTTAATAATTAAAATAAACTTTGATCTTTCCTCTTAATAATAACAAAGACGATAAAATTTTGTTTTCGTCAATTTTGGCGTCTTTTTCATAATGTCCTTTATTTAATGATCTCGTGGAGGTACCTAGGTTTTTACAAAGTCTTTGTAAAAGAGAAACATTTCTAAAAGTAAAATAGTTCCATTCATTTGTGAATAAGTCATGAAAGTTTCATTAAAATCCGACAATTTCCAAATCAATGTTTTTCACCGCAAAAGGCGCTAAAACTTCCTATACTGATCTATTGAACTAGCTGGGAATCAAACGTAGGTTTATTAAGCTCGATCTAGTTTGGTCACTACTTGGAAGCCCCCAGTAAGAATCGTAGTCATTACTCAACTACTAATTGTGAGACGGACTTCATTGCTAGACGTCTACGAGGGTAAACAGAAACTGAAAAGTTCCCGGTTCGACCCACCCGACGGAGGACTTCGCGTACATTCAATGTAAATATCGTCATTTTATTGAACTGGGTTACTAAACAACAAAGCTGGAAAGGAAGCCTATATTATAAAAATATAAATCAACCTATGAGAAAAATTCAAAAACTTCAAATTCATTGTCTTACAACTTTCAAATTTTACTAGCGTTTCAGAATTTCAAGCTTCCAATAAACGGAAAACTACAATTTCTAATACTAAGAAAAGCATTTACTAAAAATCTATTCATCCAATCACTAAATGAGAATCGTATTTATTCGATTTTACTAACGAGATCGTACTTGTCATATTAAAAAAAAAATCAGTTACGGACGAACTTAAAAAATATTTAAGGACAAAACATGCTTAAATATTGATCTAAAGTAGAGCTCTTTTCAAGGTCAAAGCGAAATAAGCTAAAGTTTAAAAGTAATCATATTTATTTGTAATTCGTCGATCTCACGAACAAAGTAAATAATTTGTTTAGAAAAATATCAAATTGTAAAAAAAGTAAAAACAAACTAAACAAATTAAAAATGATTTTAAAATTCAGAATCAATAACAAGAAAAACTTTTAAAAAATAGGCTAAATGTTATGATAACCAATTATAAAATATTTTAATTCGTATTTTAAAATATTTTACTTTTAGATTCCACTTGCCTTAAAAAAAAAAAAAAAAAAAAAGCTTACAATCAAAACAAAAATACCTTTAAATGAGGAATTTTTCATCAATTTACAAAATGTATAGATTTTTCTTTAAAGGAAAATTATGAGCACAAAATAATTCAATACCAATAAAAAAATTAAAACTAATCCAATCATTGCTAACTTTTTTTTTTTTTTTTTTTTTTTTTTTTACAAATAAGCTTTAAGTAAACTATTTTAAGAAATCTGGTATTTATGCAGTTTATACAAGATAAATTCAGTTTCAGTTGTTAAAGTTCTGATTTTTTATTTTTAAAGAAAATGGTGTATATTCTTTTAAAGCGACAATTCTTACATCTATATTACAATGTATTGTAAATTACAGGCATCAAGGCCTTATTTTAAAACCGTTAGCGACTATACACAAGCATGGCTATCATTTCTAGATATAGTCAATCAAAATATTGGACAAAAGAGATAAACGAACAGTTTCTAAAACTGAGAATAAAAGAAGTCCCCTTTTTAATAAGTAACGAAGTACTTTTGAAGCATATTTAATTAGAATGAAGATGAATATTTATCAATCACGCATCGTGCGTTCGCCATAGTAGGTTGTTATGAGTGACTATATAGACGATGATTGGTGAGACGAAATCTCAGTAACAATGGTTAAAAAATTGATTAGCATGAATAACCAAAGATACATACCTCTGGATCGTCCCATTTCAATTCACTCCTCTTCTCTGTAGGCTGCAAATTTCTATCTCTTCCCATTAATTCATCCAACAGTGCTGCTGCTGCCTGAGCCGCCATCTTGAAGAAGACTCGTTAGGACGGGATGACAGCAGCTTATTCGAAACTGCTTCAATTTTTTTTTAACTTTTTATTTCTAATAAATAGAGAGAGTTATTAAAAGATATTCCAAAAATTCTTAAATGTTTTTAAATACTCCGATTTAAATTAAGTTTTAAGAATCAGAAAGCATTACCATTATTTCGAAAGTTACGCAAAGACCCGAACTATTATTCGGTGATTTCCGTAACTATTCGGATTGTGACGTCAGGAAGAGATCCACACGCGGTGTCCGTGCTAAGATTATCGAAGTAGAAGTACGGATAGAGAGAGAGAGAGAGGGATACGCTTGTCACTCTAGGGGAAAAAAAAGCTAGGAAAGGGAAGCCTAAATGGCCTCAGAAGATAATGATAACAATGCTCCAGACTCTTGGGAGCAAGAATTGAATAACTCAGATGTGGAGCAGATTAATTCCACTCTATCCAACTTGAACGTAAATGCCGAAGTGTTCGTTCCTGGCCAGAATGTACACGCTCCGGCATTCGTACCATCATTTATGAAAGACTCTGAAGAAAGTCCAGAAGGTAAGTTTTAATAAAATACCGGGAAATATCACTTATTTAAGCATCAGTCACTCATGATTATCCAATTTTACTTTCTTCAAATATCCTAAGAGCATAAAAAATAGCAGCGATTGGTATTTAAATAAAAAAAATCGTCTATCTTAAAATTTAGTGTTCTATTTGTCTAAAAAGCCGAACAACATGCCGTCCACGATTTATGACGTGTACATAAATTGAGGGACTTGTTTCTAATTATAAAATTTACTGAACAGATGCCTCACTTTCTGACCATTTTACGTCTATATATGCATCTACATACATGCACACACACACACATACACACATGTAGAGAGAGAAATAAAAAAGAACTTAATTGAATGGAATTTTAGATGTCCACTTTACATTGTTGATTATATTATAAAACCTCTTAGAAACTTGGTTTTTAAATGTGTATCGATCCATTTTTTTAAATAAGTCTACGATTTAAAAATACCTTTCATTTTATATTTATGGGTTTTTCTGATAAAAATCATTATGCAATTTAAATATTCGTTTTATTTAATCTAAATCTGTTTAGTTTTTTTAACCATGTCTTACTGAATTGGAAAAAAGCCTTTCTCAAATTTCGTCATTAGGCCTTTTTCAGCTAACATATTGCACCATAGTTGATCGTCTAATCCTTTCTAGTCTTAATTTTTTTAAACTAAGCAATTTATTTACAATATTAAGCATGTTGAGTTCAAATTTAGATAGTCTTTTTTTTTTTTTTTAATCACATGACAAACTATAAATCATTTTTATTATTTAAACTTTATTTTCGACTTAAGAGTTAAATCTTGCACTCATCATTTTATTAAAGTTTAAAAAATGAAAAAAAAAAAAAAAACTTAACCTCGTAACTGTAAAGTGGTCCCCAGACTAGGAAAATCCGAAATTGACCCATTTTCATGTCTTACACTTATTTTTTCCAGCTATGGATGGTCAGTTGCGCCGTAATTTTTTTTTTTTTTTTTAAACCAGGATTTCTTTTTGCCATACAATTTTCACTCTCGTATTTGTAGTCATATTTATACCTTAAAAATTAAATGCATCATCATTCTTTATTTCAAGGGCTTAGAGCGTTTCGATTTTTTTCTTTCGTCCTTTTCTCATCGTAGTTTTTTACATGCTTACATTTTGATGAATTTTTAATGGTGAGATTAGCCATTAAACTTTAATGCATTCAGGAATATATTTTGTTTGCTTTTAATATTTTCAGAATTGTTCCAAATTTAAATGTTTCATTTTTATTGTTCCCAAATCGACGTTTTCCTTTATTTTCTGTATGGGAGGGACACAGCAGCGGTCTCTACAGCCTACAGGTTCTTAAATAGGCAATAAGTCTTGTTCACTGTTGAACTACGGACGAAGAAAATGAATGAAGGTGTTAGTTAGAAAATATTTTTCCTCAACTATTTCCAGTATAAGTAATTTGTTTCTATGATAACATATCTTTATCATCGTATTGTTCGCTTAAAAGTTTCACTTCAATAGTAAACCGCCTGACTAAAGTTAGTTTTTTGTGTCATCAGTACTGATTACAATAAGATAGTCACGTGATCTAATGCTTCCTTCCCTCATGAGTAAAATCTTGTCTGACGAGTAGCGTTGTCAAATTCGTATCGAAATAAATTTTTAAACCTTTTAGGCCACCTATATTTGAGGTAAAACAAAATTTAAATGAATACAAATTAAGTTTATTACACGTTACTGAACAGTTGACAATTTCTTCTCTGAAATAGGTATTCTCATTCTCACGACTTGGACTTAATACGTAAAAAAAAAAAAAAGTTCTATACAGTTCCCAGACTTACTATTACTCGCTTCATCTACCCAACCCCAGTTTTGGAGAATGGAATCTCGCTAAATAAAGTTTCCTTTTTAGCTGTGATAATGACCACCCCGCACCTTCCGAGTAGAGAATTTAAAATCCAGTTCAAGGAATGGCTTCAGTGCTCTCCTTTAAGAAAAAAAAAAAGTTTGCACGACACCATCGAAATTCTTCCAGCTGGCTTAATTCGCTAATACAACACACTTTCAACACTAGAGAATAGAGATAGCGATACTTTGTAGCCCTTCGTTCCTAATAAAACTACCAAATTTAAGAGACTATCATTTTCCATTCGGTTTTTAAGATTTTTTTAAAATAGTTACACTGCTGTGACATGTCATTTTAAAAACGAATTCTGAAACCGTTACTTAGTGTTTTATTTTTTCCTCGAAAATTGTTGCATTTTTTTTTTTTCTGTAATTTTGCTTTTAGTTATGAATTAAAAACATTATGTGGGATGACTTATTTTCCAAAACAGATCTATCAATCTTTCTTGAGGATTTATCATTTGCAGTTAGACCAATTTCTTTTGAAACATAACGACTAGTTTTTTTTGTCTTTTATAAAGAAGTCTTAAATCTTATTCTTACACATTCATTAAGATATGTGTTGTTGGCTGTTGATTTTTCATTTGATGGTGGGTGGAGGATCCAATTTCAAACTTTATACTTGGAATATAGAATTCTATTCAATTCAGGGCGTGACATTTCTTATTGTCGGTGAAACTAAGCAACAACAAAAAAACTCTTTTAATATAAACTCTTCTTATTCATATGAAAGCTAATGCATACTGACAATGACTTAGAAAACCTAGTTGCTTTGGTTGTTAAAGGGACGTAATTCATGAATTTTAAAATCAAAGTTGGCTATTTAATAGGATACATGTTGCAATTTGAATAGGCATTTTTCTTTGTATTATTCTCATTAATGTAACAAATAGCAATAAGCAGAGCTCTTGAGCTTTTTTCTAGTTTTATTGCAGGAATGTTTTTCTGTATGCAAAAATGGTATGTTCGTTTAATAATATTTAGTTTGCATATAACTTGAAAGGTTACCCTGTACTTAATTTTGGGGGAAAATGTCATATTTTGAGGCGTGCTCAATGTTTTACCTCTTAGCTGCTTTTAAACTTTGGTTGAATTGAATGAATTCCTGGAACTAACAGCTAAAGTTGCTCCATGATAGATCTTCTTTCACTATGACAATTTAGCAGGGAGGGGTTGATCTTGCCTACTTTGTGTATCTCAACTGTAACAGAGAATTGGGCCAGCCTGATAAAAGATTCAGTTGGTTTTGTGTGGACCATTTGCATATGAACGATACTGGACAGGAATTAGCCAATAGTCGGTGTGGCTCTGGGACTGTGAGAGCTATATAACCCTAGTGTTTTTCTCAGTTGAGAAAGGCGCTCCCAATGCATGGACGTGCGAAAACCAAACAAGACAAACACAAGCTATTTCAGTGATTGACAAATGAGGGCTAACCCCAAATTTGATTTTAAAGTAAATTCCAGAGTTTGACAAAGCAGTATCCAGTCTTCCAGTGGTTGAACAGATAGAGAAGCTATGTGGAGTGAAGTCTTTGGAGCACATGATCCCTTTGAGACTGACATGCAGAGCATTTGCAGTTTACCAACAACTGGATGACAAAACAAAATCTGACATTGACTAGATAAAAACTGCCTTATTTACAGCCTTTGCTACAGATTCATTTATGTTGTACAAGCAGAGCAGCACCTGCAGTATGGTGAATCAGTGAATGTATACCTGCCTGAATTGAAAAAAACTCATATTCTTGCTGAGTGGGATGAATGACTGTATGCTGGTTTGTGCACGGGTTGCCAGGCAATGTAAAGCACTCTTCGTGCATTGTCTAGGATGGATGCGCTGTCTATTGGCCAGCTGCTTGCCTGAGCTTGGGCAATTATGAGGGACAAGGGAGACGGCGGAAGTCATTGGTGGCGGTGGCAGCCCAGCCAATTCAAAGTACGAAATTCATGTCGGAAAGTATTTTAGGTGCAATGGTATTAAGTAGAGTTGGTTGGTTTGACAATTTGTTTTAGTATCAGCTTCCCCCCTTTTTTTTTTCGCCTCTCTCTCTCTTGAAACTCTGGCTTTTGATTCAGTTTTTAATTTAGTATTTTTGCTTTCTAAGAGCCATTCATTTTCTTGTGTAATGATAGCATTTCCAGTTGATATCTGATTTTGTTTGAAATTGGTAAATTTGCAACTTAGTCTATTTAACTCAATTTCTCATGTATTTTTGGTCCAATCTTGAAAATATTCATATGACTCAAAAGAAAAAAAATAGTCTTTCTAAATGGGTAATTTGTATGTACTTTTATTCATGAAATTATTTTCCTACAAGATAAAACGGTATTTTGTTTCAAACGGCCAAAAATGTGACTTTTTTTTTTTTTTTTTTTTCTTTAAATTTTACACTTTACTTTGTTTAACAAATCAAATTAACCAATCTTTATCATTATTCTTGAAATTGTGCACTTAATTAGAAGACACCTTAAACTACAATCAGGAAGGTGTTCATTTCTTCCTTGGTTCAAAAATTCATTTATAGCGGGAACATTATTAGTGACAAAAATGCTTGCCTATAGTGATGTAAATCTGCTTGTATGAGGTTGAAACATTGTATGTTGTATCTGCAAGAAATTTTGTCTTGCCGCGTAAAATAAACATGCCATATGCTTTTCAACTTTCAGGTGTTTTTTGAAACATGTCATTGTGGAAGTCTGTTAACTGGTGTGTAAGGAATCAGTATTTGGCTTTAAGCAAGGGTAACAAAAATTTATAGACATGCATAATGACCAATGAAGAGAAAACCTGAAAACTGTGAATTGGGATGGGTAATGAAGTAGGGAATGTTCACCTGAAGTCAGTTTTTAGGCTTTAAAGGTAATGTAGACAGAAAATTCATGACTTTATTTATTAACAAATTGGTAAAATACAAAAGAAATTGTCGCATAACTGTATTTGTCTTTGAACAACACATTTGAAGCAGAAAAAAGGTATAGCTCTCTGGAAATTAGTTTATGGTGTGGCTTTTAAAAAGCTAAAAATGAAAACTCATATTTTTAAAATACAGTAATTGGGATTTTGCAAATAAATTTCTCCTAGACAAGGAAAATCAAGGATTTTTTTTTTTTTACATGTCTAATTTTATGTGTATGTGCATTTTTAAAGGTGAAATTAAGAACAATTTTAATTATTCTTTAATATCTAATTTAGGTGCAGTCCCTAGATATAAAAAAAAATCTTTTTTTTTTTTTTTTTTTTTAATCTTGTTTGCAACAACTTTATTTCATGATTGGTGTACTGACTTACTGGAAAACAATTACCCTTACAAAAAATCCACCTTCATAAAATTTAATATTAAAGTGAAACCGGCAACTTTTTTTTTTTTTTTACTCACTATTTTGTTAACTTGCCACAAAAAACAAATAGGTTTCAGGCATCATGTTATATTTTCCTTTTTTTTTTTTTTTTTTTTTCTTTTTCTTCTGTTTGAAAATATTCTATGGCTTCCAAGTGTCATATGTCATATCTTTTTTTTTTTTGTTTCATTTCTTTTGTAAACAAATAGATTTCACATTTATTTCCTTAAACTAGTCAAGTGTTTTTAACATTTTTGTTCAACCTTTTTCTCTTACAATGCTATAAATGTTGATAAAATTAAATTTTATTAACATCTGAAAGTCTTTCTCAATAGTGTTTCTTTGCATATGGTCACTCAGTAGTGATAGCACTAAACCAAACGATTTTGGTTTCATAAAAAAATTTCAATACGGTTTCACGGTGTGAAGATAAAACCAGAAAGTCAGTTTTTCAGTTAAACTGCCAATCTCTAGTATTAACCACATGGTGAAAGATTGTCGGAGCCGAGGACAACACACAATATCATGCACTGTTACCATTGCTATACCGTAGGCCATATGTCTCAAAACAGCCCAAGGAAATGTGAGAAGAGATATATCAATGCCAGTATCTTCTCCAACCTGGCATTACTTGTGCCAGTCATGGGCAAAAGGGCCTGTATATGTAACAATGGACTTGGAGACCAGAGCCTGTTGTGGGATCAGTCATTGCTTTCCACTTGCAAGATAGAAGCCCTGTCAAGATTGATGTACTGGTGGTGCAAGTAAAAGAACTAGGAGTAGTAGGAATCACTCCTTTGGGTACAGTGGAGTTTTTCAACAAAAAAAACATCCGTGTGTGCTGCTCTCACCATAGAGGAACCAGACTTTAGCATTGAGTTTGATCAGAAAAAGAAAGTGCGGGGGGTCACTGGGATTATTAGTTCACAATCTGTCCTGAGTGATGGCATGCCAAGTCATGTTAAACACCTCCAGCCTGCAAGCGACACTGATGATTCATCCATGAGTGGAGTTGGAAATAGATTCCTGGACTTTCGATACACTTCCTGTCGTGTTGGAGATGGATAGCAATGATACTAAGAATGAAGTACCTCCCTTGTGAAGGAGCACTAGAAGGAAATGCTCGCCCCTGCAATGGGCTGTTCAGAGAGGACCTTTTACTTAGAGTAGGTAGTGCAAACTGTTTGCATATGAATGATACTGGGCATGTGTTAGCCAATAGTCGGTGTGAATCTGGGAGAGCTATATAACACCAGTGTTTTTCTTAGTTGTGAGTGGCATTCTTGATGTGTGCAAACCAGACAAGCCTAACACATTAACTAATTTAACTAACAAGTATTAATTGGTGTTAGGGATAAGATATTTGTCAATATGGTCAATTTAGCAGTTTGAAAAGAAATCATTCCAATCAATTTAAATTCAGTTGAAATGCAGCAAAGTATTTTGCTTATTGGAAATATCAAATTTAATCTATTAGCTTAGAATTAAAACTGAAATAAGTGCATTTAGAGTCCTTTCATTTTTAAAATTATATATATGACTTTTTTCTTTTTTCATGCGCATTTCTTATGAGCAGGCTGAATTTGCCCTTACCAATATTAAGGAATACACAACTCCACTCAACCAAAACAAGATTATCTATTATGAAAAATTTAGAATGGCCAACCTCATAATTAATAACAATTGAACAATAAGATCCGAACTATATGCAACAATATTATTTTTGAATTTCAGGCACATTACAGAACTATGTTCCTGATGAAAACATTCATGAGTAATTATACGAGGCATGTAGCTGTATGTCTTTTAAGAAGACTTGCTTTGCTCTCTCAGTTCATAGCACCATTAAAACCTATTTAACTGTATCTGTTAACCTGTATCTGCAAAATTCTTGTAAATAATACATGGACTCATCGACATTCACAAAACAGTTTAAAATAATGGAAATGTTATCAATAAAAAAAGAAAACTACTCTCAGTAAAAATTATGACCACAACCACAAAGTACTGACTTTGCTTCTCATTGCTATATTAAAAAGAAAAAATTACATATTCAGTTAAACAAAACATCCTTGGGCAATAGATTAGCTAAAAGCAACATGTCATTTGAACAGTTTTGCATGCACAAAAATTTTCATATTTCAAGCTTTAATAGCTAAAAAATATGTGCATATTCATCAAAATATATATACCATCCTATTCTATTGTCTTGTCAGTGTTTGACCAGAAGCTCAATTCCTGTTTATATCATTTGACCGAGTTAGAAGCCAAAAACTTCCTGCACTAGTTTTCAACCTCATCCATATTGTTAAACATCCATTTGCACAGGAAATGAATTGCAATTTGGCAAAGGTGATAATCTGATGGTGCTAGGGCATTGTCATGCTGTAGGAATGTCTTCAAATGACCAATGCTAGGTAACAAGGTTTCAAGGCATCATATACTTGATGCTGTTATTGAGCATAAAGGTCTGCATGACTATCTGGGACAGGCTTAAAATGCAGCATCCCTTTGAAATTCTACTCATGGCCTTCTGTTCAAACCACCCTTTTTTCTTTTTTTTTCTTCTTGACTATAGGTGCTGAAGCCTGGCTGGAATGAAGGCCACTAATTTCTCTTTGGATTGCAGAATAAGTTAAAACTTTATGCCAAAAACTGGCATCTTCAGAATTTGCCAGCAGTTGTTTGCAAATGTTCACACGTTGTTGAGCCCGGTCATTGGTCAGTTCATAAGGAACTTCTCAACAGTATCTGTTCACAAGGCCAAGTTTATTATGGAGGTGCCAATTGAGGTTTTGTGAAGGACCAAGTTTTGCCAACAATGTATGAGTGTTTGTACTTGACATTTTAAGCAAGGCATCACATTCCTTGAAATGTCTGAACTGGTTTTATGCCACACAGTTGTTAACAGTTCCTGGGCCTACCACATCATTAATATCTTTTGCTGCTGCCTTTGCACTGTCCTTTTTTGCATGGTTAGTGTAAAATGGCTCTAATTGTAATTTTTTTCTCTACTCCTTATCATGGGACATAAAGAGTAAACAATGTTTGTTATATATAAAAATAAAGAATAGACAATTCAGCAATGATTAGACAAGTTGTATCAAATTATTGACATAACATGGGGATACAAGTTGCCAATTATCATGAGAAAATTGAAAAATCTTTGACTACGTGTGTGTGGTAAAATGACAGATCATTTTCTTTATGAACTTAAATGTTTTGTGATTTACTGCCTATTATTTATGCAGCAATAAATTCTTCAGTAACAAAATAATCATGTTCTATACTGTGGGAAACAAATCTGCCTCATCAGTCATATAATGAAAAATATATGATCATCTAAGCATGTATCATGAATGGCACGTAACTGACAGAGATATATATATATATATATATATATATATATATATATATATATATATATATATATATATATATATATATATATATACTCACTCTCACATCTTTTACTTTGGGGGGGGGTTCTTTGTTACTATTTCTCTTAAGTAAAGAAAAAATATTTACTGACCTATAAAAAGATTGCAAATTAGATGTCATTCATAAATCAGTGTTTTCTAGTTTTTTTTAAATTCCTTATCAAGAATTTTTTTTATTGATTTCAGTAGAAATTATCAAACATTTCTTATTTTGGTGATATTCTTACATCTTGATTCCAGGTTTTAAATAAGAATTTGATTTTTTTTTTTTTTTTTTTTTTTTTTTTCCTCTCTTAAAACTTGCTTTTATTATTTTTATATTATAATCTTATATTTTTATTCAAGTTATATTTACTAAATTTCAAAATATATTATCTATTTTGTTCAGATGCAGAAATGGATGACAGCAATGTCGGTGAGTTGTTTTGTTTTTTTCCCTCTCTACCTCTCTCTCTCTCTCTCTCTCATTGCCATAACATTCGCTATAAGGTTTGGAAATATTTGTGTATTAAACAATTGTATAAGATATATAAAATTAAATTCTGTCACTATCTAGTGCTTTTTATGTTGACTAGTTAAATTTCTTTTTTACTTAGCAATAAATTAATCCTTGAAGGAAATTGGTTTTAACAAAGAATACATAGATTTATAATTTGAAGGATACCAGTCATAATGTATGCACTGCTAAAGATTTTATGCTTTTGAAATTTTTGAGATATATAACCCTTATAAGCTTGAAAGTTTATGCATGCTGATAGTGTGTGGTAGAAGTACTTCTTACTGTGTTAACATTATTATTTTTATTTCTGCTGCACCCTGTACCTCGCTGCTTGAAACTAAGTCAAATGAAAAATCTGCATCAAACTAAATGTTAAAGTTAAAAATAAATTTATTAAATAAATGTTTGAGATAATCTGAATATTCATAAGATAGTTTTCTTAACAATTATATACATCTACAATAAAACCAATTAATAATAGTTCATCCTAGAGTGTTCTTTCAAAAGCCTTGAAAACATTGATTTTTATAATATACAAAGTAATTACAATTTAAATATTTAACTTTAACAAATTAATTATTTTAGTTGTTACATGCAACACTTAGTGTTCAACAGTTTAATCAAGAAAAAAAATTTGGTCCTTAAACTTATAGTTTTTATAATTGTTACATTGTTTTAGACCTTTTCAAATATTTTCTCTTCGCTATTTTAACATACCAATTTGTTTTAGTTCAATCTATAATTATATAAGTCCATTTTGTATATTTAAGGAAAAATTATTTGTGGTGGTGGCATAAAAAAGATGGGTAATACCAAAAGAACATCTGGTAGTATATTCACTGTTTAATTTTTGTATTTGTTAATCTTTTAACAATTTGCATGACAGTTGATTACTTTTTCTTTTCTTTTTTTTTTAAGTTTCTTGTTATATCTACTAATCAAATTCTTTTAGTGTGGAAGGTGAGTGGTACAATAATATTGTTCAGTTTGTTTTTTTTTGTTTAACTAACAATTTTTTTTATATAGGCTCTAGTATTGGTGAGCTTTGTTCTTTTTTTTTTTTTATTTTGTTCTATAATAGTTTCTTTTCAGATCAAGCTCTTTTTTTTTTTTTTTTTTTTCACCAGAATGGCAAGTGGGGTGCATCAAAGCAAAATAACAGTAATAGATTTTAAATCTATTACTGTTATTTTGCTTTGATGCAGAATAGGAAACTAGTTTAGTATAGAAACATAAAATTGCAAATGGCTTTTAACATACTATTGTTAATTCCTCATTTCAATCAAACATTTTTATGCAAATTGTACAAAAAAAAAAAAAAATTCTACAAATGCTACTAAACTGTGTTGTGAAGGATATTCTGAACATTTGTTGGATTAAGTCTGTTAACTAGCTATATATATATATATATATATAATATACACACACACCAAGGGTGACCAAAAAGATAAACATGCATAAAGCACAATCCTTGGAAACAAATGTAGCAAGATTTGAAAATATTCTGGGAGCAGGGAATAGATTATAAATAAATGAACATTCATACATTTACTGATTTTATGTTAAAGGGGTTATACAGAATAAGTTGATATTATTCGCCAAATGTGTTTGAAATGGTTCTTGCTAGCAGAATACACCTTGAAGAGAATTGACTTAGTGTTGGAAATAACCAAAGAAGTTGAAATTATTGACTTGACACTAATAAACTGTTAACTTTAATTCTATGTATTTTCTTCCTTCCCTGTATCTATATGAATTATAAAGGCAACAAAATAGTCTGCTTGTTGGAAGCATAGGTATTTTTCAACTGCAACAATTTTTTTTTTTTAATGTTAGCTAACTCACATCAATGGGTGGCCAAAGAGAACATGAAAGAGCTATGACTAGCTAAGTTTGTGTGTGTGTGTGTGTGTGTGTATAATATATATATATATATATATATATCACTAAGAGCATAGCATGATGAAAAAGGTGCCAAACTTGAAGACAAAATTTTATTGTCTAAATGTCTGTTATTATTAAGAGGGAAGAACAGTTTTTTTTTTAAATTTTTACAAATTTTCCCTCCTTTTTAGAACTTTTTTTTTTTTTTACAAATTTGTGAACAATAATTCAGAAAATTGTTGATATAATAATTAAAACGAAAATAATGTAGTGTAACGAAAATAAATCTCTATTCATTTAAAAAAATTGTTTGAAATGCTGAAATCAACTATACACTATATAGATCGCTAAAAAAAAAGCATAGCATGATGAAAGAGATGCCAAACTTGACGGAAACAATTTTATCGTCTAAATGCTTATGTTATACTATTAAGAGGAAAGACCAAAGTTTTTTTTAATTATTTTTTAAAAGTTTCCCTTCTTTTTAGAACATTCTAAATTTTGATTCAGAAAAACTTGTTTCTCTTTGTATCACCAGAACTGCTAAAATAACATACAATTTTTACCTTTTTTTTTTTTTTTGTATGACTGGCATTAATTTGAAAATCTTGCAGAAATAAAAATAATTGTTGGATGTTAATGGGACTTATAGAAACTATTCACAGATGATGGGAATTATTATTATTTTATTGGTCATGCCAGAAATTTTTTTTATATGTGTGTGTGTGTGTGTGTGTGTGTGTGTTTACCCACACACACACACACACCTAATTTCATAAATTCTAGAAAATCAATTGCATTCAGTTTAGTGATTATATTAGTTAAAAGCAAAAGGCTTTGAGGAAAGCAAGTCTTGTTTTGTTTTTTTTTTGTTTTTTTAATTGGACCTCCTCTACTTGAAAATCATCTCTGAATTGTAACATACAAAACTCAATAAAACAAAAATATTCAATTTCAAATACTTTTATGAATATGGACAATATTTTCTGAAAGCAAAAAAATTTTTCAATGAAAAATGAATTTTTAATACAATTATTTGTTATTTCTTTAATTATTTTAGATTTTTACATTCAAGTTAAAATATAAAATTAGTTGAAAGCTGTGTTCACTTTTGTAATGGTCCTTATCAGATAGATCATAAACATCACATGGCTTGAGTGTAAGCATTCTCTGCTGAATGTCCATCTCATTGCAAATTCTTCTTGCGAAACATGTTGAGCATTTTAAATTAGCATTTTAACTAATTAAAAAAATTGAACACCATCCTAAGCCATTTTCAGCAGCAACATTGCATTTTTAATAATGAGGTAAATAATTTGTTCACTTAAATCTAAATAATTTTAATTCTCGCCGTAGAATAAATTATCCTCACATAAGCTATCAATACATTTCGTCACCTGTCAAGTGACGTAAAATGTTGACCTACTTAGTTTCTGCATCAAAAAGATGTAGTTTGAAAATAAAACAAAGTTAAGCTTGTTTCAAAATATTTCAAATAAACATAATTTCTGATTTTCTTAAAATAAGTTTTGAATAAATTATAATTTTTTTTTTTTAATTTTCAAAGTGAGATTTTCTTTTGTTTTTTCTCTTTCTTTTAATAAAATGAAAAAAATGGTTGACATGATTATCTCAATTTTTCTGACGAAAAAAAAGGGGGGTTAACGGAAATTTTGGACGCGCTAGGAACGATTAAAGAATGTAGAAGAAAAAAAATCCCAAACTTTGATCTTTCCTCTTAAGAATAACATAAACATTTAGACAATAAAGTTTAGTTTTCATCAAGATTGGAGTCTCTTTTTCTTTTTTCTTTTTTTTTCAAATCAGTTATGGCCTGTTTATTTCTGTGTTACTAAAGAGTTTAGTGTGTTAACCTAGCAGTCTCTCATGTTCATAAATATAGGCTTTTAGGGTTCATTTACTAAAAACAAAATATCTGAGGCTTATAAGTGAAACCTCTTAAATTTATAGCCATTTCTTATTTGTTCCTGATTTTATCAATGTCAGGTTTGATCCATAATTTACTTGTGGGTGTGTGTGTGTATATATATATATATATATATATATACTACATGCACGGTACTTATTAGAAAGCGCTCTATATCAGATATAGAGCTAACATATTTGGTTGGATTGATGTGAGTTTGTGACCCTGGGTTTCACGCTTTAGCGATCATCAGTGAAACCCAGAGTCACAAACTCACATCAATCCAACTTTATATATATATACACAAATTTATGCAAGTAAAATTTGTCAGTTAGCTGATTGATGTTACCTTCAGCATCCTGATTCAAAAGTTTCAGAGGGAGACATGTACATCCATGCTTCAGGGGGTGTCATCTCTCATGTGTTTTACACACACGCATTACTATAAGATTTTGGCATACTTGGACCTTAGTGCACACCAAAAAAAAAAAAAAACTGTCAAAAGGACAGTTTTACCATTAAAATAGGTGTTATTTTAACTACCTTCCATTCTCGGGAATGTTTGTTGTTTTTAAAAAGTAGTGATTAAAATTATAAAGTGTATGAAAATGAATTTATAGTAAATTTACAACAAACATATTAAACACCTCATTAGATTTAGAAGAATCATTTTATATTTACAACATTCTAAACTCTATTTCATTTAAAACTAATTTATAAAGAAATATGAAAATTTGTTTTTCATAAATTTATAAACATTTTGCTAAATTAAAATGTGAACCAAGTATAAAATCCTTATTTACCATTTTATAAAGTTGAAATCAATTGGCAATTAGTTGTTTTGCTACTTTATTTTTTTTTTTTTTTTTTTTTTTTTTTATGAACAATATAATATTGTTTATATATAAAATAGTGTTTATTTTGTTGTCAATTCTCAAAGAAAATGTATAAATTCACTTTCATAAGTCTTGGCTTTATTACATTTCTAATCATTCCTTTTTAAAGAATAAACATTGCCAAGGAGTGAAGGTAGTTAATATAATAGTGTCAATGGAAAAACTTGACACTCCATTTTTTTTTTTTTTTTTTTTGGGGGGTTTACACGAAGGTCAAAGTTTGCCAAGGTTTCCTTGGTCCACTTTTTGAGTTACCTGTACAATTTAAAGATGTAACTATAGGCTTTAAGTAATCTCTTGTGGGACTTTTAAGTTTTAATTCATTAAAAGAAAACCTGATTAAAATTAGGTTAAAAATCTGTAGAGTAAATTGCTGAGTGACTAGAATTTTTTAGTTGTGTGTATGCCTACTTTTGCACCCCCACCCCTAGATAACATAAAAAAAACTACAGGTTAAAAAAAAATTTTTTAAAGTTAAAGGAAATTATTCTAAATTTCCTAGCAAACAATTGCCATTCAGTTCAAGTGAAGAGATGATTGAAATGTAAAACATATTTAAGAAATTTAGTAAATATTTCCTTTTCACTTTTGCATTTTATAGATTCTTGTAATTCTATTCTCTTTCCATTTTAAGTTTTTCTCTTTGTAGTTTGGCTTGAATGTTGATTATTTTTATTTTTTTTAATATAGCTGATGACTGGGCTGACAATGTGGAAGAAGAGGAGGAAGAAAAGGAGGAGGAAAAGGCTGACAATGGTGCTGAGGCAATGGAGGTTGAAAGTGCTCCCATGAAACAAAAGCGGAAAAAGAAAGATTCTGCAGCACCCAGTGTTAAAAAGGAACATGTAAATGTTATATTCATTGGTCATGTAGGTAAGTATGAAACAAATATATATTTATATAATACTAAAACTAATCTTGTATGCATGTTCCCGGAATAAGGCTTATACAGTGCATAATACCTCAATCAATTTAGGAGCATGTACCTTGACCACCACCCCCACCCATCTCGAGTGCAGTGCCAAATTTCATTAAAACCATACAAGGAGTTATTGAGCTAGTGCTTTTTTTTTCTATTTTTTATGGCTTTTTTTCATAGTAAATTTAGTATGTTTTCAATACATTCTTATACCAATCTATAAACAAAACTTGCATCATATATTCCAGCTATTATAGGTATAAAAAAAATTAAGCATTAAAATAAATTATGCATAAACAACATATTCATACAGTTCACTACACTGCATTAGAACTTTTGTAGTTTAGTAGTTTAGTAGTTTAAAAAAGTTCTAATGCAGTGTAGTGAACTGTATGAATATGTTGTTTATGCATAATTTATTTTAATGCTTAATTTTTTTTTTATACCAATAATAGCTGGAATATATGATATATTCAAACTACTTGAAAGGTGAATAGGCTGTGTCAAATAACTTGATGGTAAATAAAAACATGTACTTTTTTTATTTTAAAAAAGACTATACCTGATTTAAACTATTACTTCAAATTTTCATACAATGTGTTAACTATCAGGCCCAGTGGAACCAACCTTCTTTTACAGTCTTTAAATACAAATTAAAATGTGTGCAATTGATATTGTTACCTCCTTAACTTTTATATCCTTGACTGCTTTTAAAAGAAACTCAACTGGTTTATATGTGGTCTAGTTTTGCATATAAAAACCTGAATTTACAATATAACTAAAAGGTGTCACAAGCAATATATATGTGAAATGTCTAGAAATTTATTTGAACACAAATGAATTTTTACAAAACACACTCAGTAAATCTGACCATAATTTTAGCTTAATGCAATTTTAATTAAGAATAATTTATTAGGTGAAAAATAGAAAGTGTGCTAATTTATCAGTCTTCAATAGTAGGTTTATGTTCATACACTACTGCTATTATGTGAGATATTTAAAAACAAAAGTGGTAGGAAGCTGAATGAGGTCCTCTAGATTGTGTATCTAGACACATTGGATGCCAAGAATTAAAGTCCCAGGCATCTTCAATGTTTTTCTTGATGTATAAATATGTATGATTTATCTAGAAAAACATTTAACCTGAAGAGTCCTTTCAAAGGATAAAATTCACAGCACAATTTTTTTTCTCATTTTGCTATTCAGCTAGCCATTATAAACTAATGTGCATTATAAGACAATGTGCATCACATTGTTTTTCTTCATATCTAAAATTTTAGCCAATTACTTAAAGCAAGTGTTGGATAAAAATTTCAAAATGTCTTGCAATCTAAATAACTTTTGAAGTTTTAATTCAAGGAGAATAGTATGTTTGTAAGTATTTCATTCGTGCATTGAATATAAGTCACATCTACTTTGGTGCTTCTGTTATATATTTGGAGATTCTTGATAAAATACAAAGAATCTGCAATGTTATTGATTCTGACCTGGCACCTCAGCTTCAGTCACTTTCCCATCACCCTAACATAGCTTTCATAATAATTGTTCTTGGGAGTTTTCCTCTTTGATACCTAGACCGAGAAGTTAAGCGTACTACTAGATTGGTGGCAAGGTCTCATCTTGCAATGGCTCAATGTAACCAAAAGTTTTATGCTAACATTTTCTTTTCTTGCAGAACTTTTCCAGCTTCTGTCTTTGCAGCAAACATTCATATTGAAAAATTTAAACGCGATGTCAATCATAGTCTTCTGTTTTAATTCCCTCTTTTATTTGCTCTTTAATGTTTTCTTTTTCTCATATTCTCTCACACTCGGTAACCCCATGGCTTTGCTTGGGGGGAAATGATTTTAAAAAATCTCTTGATTAGTTTGTAAAATTTGGAAAATCTCTAAACTTCTGTAATTGGCAGTATGGCAGTTTGGCAATTTTGTTCAAAGAATTTTTAAAAATTTGAAATAAGGATGGGTTAAAAAAAAATTTTTAGTTTCTAATATGCTGTATAAAAAAAAAAAAAAAAAAGAAAAATGGAATTTTTGCTTCTTACTGACAATGTGTAGAATTTCAAAATTTCTTAATTTTTGGACTAATTTCTAATTTTTGTGCTGCATGGAAGCATTTAAGAAATTGTAACTTTGTGTATTTGCATATAGAAATTCTATACTTTTTTTTTTTTTTTTTTTTTTTTTTTAGATGCTGGGAAGTCAACAATTGGTGGTCACATTATGTGAGTTTTGGTTTTTAATATTTATTTAAACCTGTATTAAAGAGAATACTTCTCTAAACAATTGTTTGTAGGCCACATTAAAATGAAATAATTTGTATTTATCCATTGATTTCTGATTGTACCTTTTTGGAAAATATTGTTTTCTGAATAATATTGTAGCTTTTCTTATATTCTATAGTTTTTATAAATCTTTGCAAAATATTACATTTTCAGGTATTTGACAGGAATGGTTGATAAAAGGACATTAGAGAAATATGAAAAAGAAGCTAAAGAAAAAAATAGAGAAACTTGGTAAGTTATAAATTACTTAACATGCTTACATATTGGCTACTTGCTATTGAATTTTTTAAATAGTAAATCAATATTATACTTTCTATGCAGCTCTTATGGACTTTTTTTCCTTTATATATGTAGGTATCTATCATGGGCACTAGATACTAACTTGGAAGAAAGAGAAAAAGGAAAAACTGTTGAAGTAGGCAGGGCTTACTTTGAAACTGAGAAAAAACATTTTACTATTCTTGATGCTCCTGGCCATAAAAGTTTTGTGCCAAATATGATTGGTGGTGCCTCACAGGCAGACATGGCAATTCTTGTAAGTTGAATCAATTGTCATGTTTATTTCTTTTTTTTTTCTTTTTTTTCTTTTTCTTTTACTTTTTCTTTTTCTTTTTTTTTTTCCCCCCCGCCAACAAAAATACCATTTGAAATATTTTCTCTTAATTCTAAAAATCTGTGTTCATCTGCATTTGAAATTGATGTTTGCCTCGTACTTTTCTAGGTGATTTCTGCTCGGAAAGGAGAATTTGAAACGGGATTTGAACGAGGTGGTCAAACAAGAGAACATGCTATGTTAGCCAAAACAGCTGGAGTGAAGCATTTGGTTGTACTGATAAATAAAATGGATGACCCAACAGTAGAATGGTCAGAAGTACGGTATGCACCATAGTTGGTTTAGTTTTCTCAATTCTAAACTAATGAACTATGCATTTCTGTCCTATCAATGTTTTATAATTATAAAAAAAAAAAAAAAAAAAATACTGTTGTACATATGAATAAAGAATATAAGAAAGCACAATACAGCAAGGTTTTTAGAAAGAAAACTAGTTTCTATACATTTTCAAAAAGCTATCTAAAATTACTTTTGAGCAATTTTAATGTATTATGTTTAATTCATTTAAAGCCTCCCTTTTTTTGCATCATCGTGATACTTATAAAACGGTTTATAAACTTTCATTTTGCCTTTTTCTTCTAAATTCAAATTATATATGCACGTTTAGTGTCCTTATTGTAATGAGCAGATGCAGATGTTTGTGGATCTATATAAATCATTGATTTGTTGATTCAGTATCATAGTGTCTTTATCAAGCCATTGTTCCTCAGTGCATTATTACAATTTGATACATTTGATCAATCTTTGTTTAGTATCATACTGCGACAATGTCATCTTTAAGCTTTTAAAATGAGTTAAGATGTCTGAAAATTGACTGGGGGCATGCAGCAACAGATTCTATGAACTCTACATTGTTTTCACAGGGTTTTAATTAATTTTTTTGAAATTGCGCAAATATTCCTTTTCAGAGGCTTTTTATCTTACAAGTCTTAAGAACACTGACCTGTTTGGAAATAAAACCTCATGTTATTCATAGCTAAATATGCATAACGCTATTTAGTATGGTTAATTGAACATTTATACATTTTATTTATTTTATTTTTTTTTTCATAAAGTGAAATGAGGTTCCACAATTTCTTATCAATCATCTATTCATTTTAATGATGCATTGCTGATATTGCAAATGATTGCACTTCTCCGACTGCTTCAAAGTGTAGCTTTTTATATGTACAAGAATAATTTGAATAGTTATCCAGGCAGAGAGGGCTAATGAGGTAAAGAGAAGATCTGTTTTAACTACAATATTTTTCAGAATTAAAAATATGCTTCAGGTATATCCTCCACACAAAAAATATCTCTATTATTAAACACTTTGTGATTAACAAGTATTTGGCATTCTCATGTCAAACCTGGGATTAAATGCTTAACCAGTAAGAAATAACTTATTTTCCATTTCAGGTACAATGAATGCCGTGATAAACTCCTTCCTTATCTGAGAAAATGTGGCTTTAATCCAAAAACAGATATTTATTTCATGCCAGTCTCTGGGCTGACAGGCGCATTCCTTAAAGATGTAGTTCCAGAAGATCAATGTCCGTGGTTCAGAGGGCCAGCTCTAATTCAATATTTGGATGACATGCCATCTTTGAATAGAGCATCAGATGGGCCAGTTAGAGTACCAGTAGTTGATAGGTATAAGGTGAGTTATGTTTTGGGTTATATGAAATTGCCTATATTATTCATTTTTATCCATACTATACTTAGTCTTTTACATTAAAGGTGTCTAAATCTTTAATTGTCTTAATCTTTAACAAACCTTTTTTTTTTTTTTTTAATATTGTATAGAATCCTTGTTATAAAAATATAGACAATTGAATAGGTTGAAAAAGCAAAAATAAGTTTAAATCCAAGAACAACCTATTTTAATACATTGCTTGAAATATGTGAATCTATGCAGTTTTGAGGCTTTGCCATATCATGTGGAAACACTGGTTATTGTCAAGTCACCAAAGTTAAGCAATATCAAACTTAGTAAGTGCCTAGTTGGGTGACCATTTGGGAATATCAGGCTGTAAGCTTGCATGTGTTGTAATAGATAAAGGCTTGCAATGAGAAATCAGAGTGGTGTTCAAATTTTAGTTATGTTCATTATTTTTATTTACATGCAAAATAACCTTGGATACGAGTCTACCTATTCTCTGGTTAAATAGTAGGACTTTTATCAGAAATCATTTCCAACAAATTTTTACAGCCTAAAAATCATGACCTCAAAGTTAAGCCATTAAAAAAAAAAAAAATCAATCAAATGCAGTTTTGTCTAAAGGGAAAATGACATCTAATCTATGGTGACAGTTTTCAGTTAAAATTTATGTACCTTTTTTGAATTTTAAAAATAAAAGATAAAAATTGGATTGAGTGAATGAATCTTTGAGGCAACTTTGGAATGTCAGAGCTGGAACAGTTCTCCAAAATGAATTGTTAGTGTTTGTTTGTTTTTTTGGGGGGGGGATATTTTATCAAATCATTAAATTCTCAAAGAAATTCTTTGTAACAGTTGTTAAATTATGCTGGGGAACATTTTTGGGACTAATTTTTAGTTGTCTTGCAATTTTTACTATTGTTCCTATCTAAATTGATGGTGTTTAAGTTCAGAAATTTTCTCGCATCAATTCAATTTTGCCATTAAAAGCAATACTGAAATATGATACTAACACAAATCTATTAAAACACCTTAAGATAAATATTTCTGTCAAACTGGAGTTTCAGCTACTAGAGGCATAAACTTTTTATACTGCTTTGCATGAATTACTTGCATTGCAACAGTCTCTTTGCAGACCTCAACAGTAGTCAACAATATTTGTATTCCACTAGCCTTGATACCTAGGCTCTTTGGTCTTGTTTTTGGTGGAATCTTTCTCCTTGCTCGTCACTCATTGCTCCAAAATTTTTAGGGAAGTATTCCAGATGATTGTGCAGTAGTTCTTCAATGTTATCAAATGTCCAATTGGTATAGAAGCAAGCACATTGACATTGTACAGCAGGACACAGGACTTTTTTTGAACTGTCTATGAAAAGCCTCCAGTCTTCTGGGTTATATTCACACTTCATGGAAGCAATAAAGCCTTTAACATCATAGCAATAAACAAAATCAGCATCCATGCTGAAGAATGAAAGCAAATCATTCTCACAATGCCTATAAGATGTGAAGCTGGTTCCTGGTGCAAGCAGGTTTTCTTTCAAATGTGACCCAAGCAGCTGGGCAGCTTTCTTTGATAAATGTAGACTACAAACTAAATCCTTTAATTCTGCCTGTATTAAAAAATTCTGGTAGGCTCTCATGGTTTTTATCTTCCAAATTGCCATACTCCATTTCAATTATTATCAATGAAAGGCATGGATACTGGTGTTGGAAAATTGTGTGGTACAGGTCTAATGTCAGATTTGGATAAACAATATGATACTTAGTGTTAAAACTGAAGCCAGATATCTCAATCATGCAGCTGTCATTGTGATGATTTTTGTGATCCCCCTCCACATCATATGTGTTTTTTGGTCCACTGTCTCTGTGTTTTAACACCTGTTTTACATACCGTATGGAATGCTCAGGTTTTACCTTGATCACCCAGTTTATGCTAAAGTAAGGTAAGCTTTCTTCACTTTATCTGATTTTGTTTCACTGCCTAGCTAAAGTATAATGTCCACAAATATTGCCAACAATATATTGGTTTGCATTTTATTCTATGACAGCTGTTCATATTTCTGAAATACAAAACATTCAAGCTGATTGTCACCTAGGGAAAAGTATTCAGGGTTGTGGACAGTGATAGAGCAGGCAAATGCAGGCGGTTTGTGTTTGCAAAACTCCATAAAGAGCATATATAACTTCTTTCTACAGTTCTGTGACCATGACCCATGTGACTTCACAATTACAGCATTAAGAGAGGTTTTAAAAAATACCAATTTTCATAAAGATTCAACAAAACATTTCTGGCCAAGATTGCAATAATATTCATACTGAATCGAGCACAGTGTGGACATATCTGTAGACAAATATGAAACCTGTAATGTGTTTATTAATAGCTGATAGTATAGATGATGTTTGTCATATTTGAAACTGATTAGATTGAAAATGGTGAAAGTTGCTCAAATTTGTTGCTTTTTATTGACAGAAGAAACTTAAAGCATAATTTTCACTTTAACTTTTGTAGCTAGATTTACATTAAATGACATTCTAACATGGTTTTTTAAAGTTGTCAGGTTCCCTACATGGCTCTGCATTTGAGGAAGCAAAATCTATGCTTAGAAATTGTGACAATACTGGAAATGTTGAAAAATGAACATTTTAGTTTGTGAAAAATCTTGACATGAAAAATGAATTTCATTTTTTTTTTTTTTTTTTTTTTTTTTTTTAATCGGCACCTCAAAATTACTACAAAACAGGGCTCCAGCGCTAGACAACATAATCTAAGTTCTTCAGTGTTGTGTGTGCATCATAGATTTCAGGGAGGGAAAGAAAACAATAGACATATATAACACAAAAGTAACTGCTAAGTGGAAACTGCACATTTAAATTTAGAATAGTATTTTGCTACATGAAAATATAACATTTTTCTCTCTATTACTCCACTCTAATTTCTTATCCACAGTGGGAACACAATCACATGGAATTCTACAATTAGAGCAGATTATTCCCATTGTGTAAATGAACTACTTTACACTGCCTTTACTTTTTGACACTATTGATGCAAAGTTTCATATGCAATTACAATTCTCTTAAGGTACTAAAGACTAAATTTTTATATATATATATATATATATATATATATATATATATATATGTCATTTTAGTATTTTTTTTATTTTTTTATTTTTTTTTTTTACAGGATATGGGAACAATTGTTATAGGTAAAGTTGAATCTGGCAGTTTAACAAAAAATCAGACGCTCTGTCTTATGCCAAATAAGGTAAGTTTGTATTTGGTTGTGTTAGACTGATGAAAATTCAACAAAATACAGCAAAAAAGGCACATTACTAGGAACAAAATATTTCCCACTCCAACATCTCTACTTCAAAATATCTTTAATACTGGCCATTTGGGTATCAAGTCCATTGATAAAGTACTCATCTGTATTTAATTTCATACTGTTCCAAATGCCAATTACTCATAAGCTGACTTCATATATAGTACTTTTTTTTTTGACTTCCATTGTATGGCTACAGACATATATGCACAAGTGTGTAAACTTGCATTCTTTACATAAGTTCTCAAGGAGTGTTAATATTTTATCAAACTCCCAGGAATAAGTCAAAGCTTGAAAAGGCTATTCTCTTGTTTATAAAATTTTTTTTTTTTTTTTTAAGCATCTTGCATGTGTCATTATGGGGATTAATTTTTTGTGGTATCCACATTTCTGTTTTTACCAAGTAATTAATTTTGTCTGTTTTATTAAAGGGAACTTTGTTGCAAGTCAATCAGTGTTTCTGTTAAGTCATTAGCAGTATTTACTGACACTTGATTCAGAAGTTTGGGAGGGCCCAGGCTAGGCTTTTTTTTTTTTTTTCTTCTTCCTATATCTTGAGTTTAAATATTTAACTTTTTAATAAGACTTTTGTTTTGTTTTTTTGTTTTTTGTTTTTTTTGTTTTTTTTGTTTTTTTTTGTTTTGTTTTTTTGTTTTAACTTTTTGCTCAAATTTCTCTTGTAGGTTCCTGTTAAAATTATGCAATTATGGTCAGATGATATTGAAACAGATGCTGCAAGTGCAGGGGAAAATGTAAAAATTAAACTACAGGGAGTTGAAGAGGAGGTAATTTTTATTTCTTATATAAAATATGATGGACTCTCATAGTTTTCAACATATGGGTGTTTTCAGTTTTTATGTTTGTTTCGTATGAGACAACAATCCTGCATGGGATTTGCAAACAAATCCACACTAAGGGCATACTAAAGGGTGGCTGTCATATTAGCCTGAGATTTAGTGTTAATTCTCTCAGATGGTTGAGAGGATTCTTTTCAAAGTTAGTTATACCTTGGTAGCAGGTGTTTCTTCAGTTTGCTTGGTTTTCAACAGCAAGTTCGAACTCCTCTATAGGGATGTTTGCAGCAATTGTATTTAAGTTTGTCCGTGAAGCATAACTAAGGACAGCCTACATTACACTTAAACATGAAAAACTTGGCTATATATAAGGGCTTTTGACATCCGATCATCACTTATTCTGATGACATGCATTAGAAAGGGTTCAATACCACTGACACCACATTTGATGAAAAGATATTGGTGAGAGATTTTGTCTTGCCGTGTATAACTGCATATTGAGCAAAGTCAGCATTTATGAAAAGCATCAAGTTGACTGATGTGTCCTGTGTGGCATCCATGATTCTGACCCATAAAGAAGTGTAGTGAGAATGATTGCTCAATGGACACTGATTTTCGTTTTCTGTGAAATCCCATGAACATCCCATAGTTGATGCTTAATCTTCCCAATGGCATTGGCTGCCTTTGATATTTGATTAACTATCTTTTCATCCAAAGAGGTACTTCAATTGACTTTGCTTCCTAAGTAACAAGAATGATTTCACGTACAGGCTGTTGCTGCCAACAGTAATGGGAACAATTGGAAAAGTATGGGCAGGTGGTTTTTGTTTTACACCCATGACCTGTTTCGGTGTAGGCCTTGGTCTATGGACAACTTCAGTTTTCTTTAAGCTTATGGTTAATCCGAATATGTTGCAAGCAGTGGAGAAACAATTGGCAAGTGCTTGAGCTTCTTTGATTGAGGTGGCCACAATCACAGCATCATCAGCAAATAAAAGATCACAAATAATTGCTTGTTCAAGTTGGTGATTTTGATTTAAAATGTTGATGGTTAAAGAGGCCTCCATTTGTGCAGAATTCAAATTTCACACCAATGTCAAGATCACTAAAACCATGGTGTAGCATGACTGAAAAGAAGAAAGCGAAACATACAGGAGCCATTTGTTACATCAAAGGTTTCTGAAAAATCTCCATTAGATAGATGCTTTCATTCCTTTGTGAAATGAGATGATGACATTTGGAATACTTTCAGGTATGCCAAGCTTTTTGAGTACTTTCCAAAGGGCACTTGTTTACAGTGTCAAACACTTTGGTCAGATCAATAAAGACTGTATAAAGATCATGGTTCTTCTCGCCAACTTTCTTAGAAACCTGGCGAAGTGAAAAAAAATCATATCAATGATTCCACGACCTGAATGAAAACTACACATTCAAAATAGATGTCATCGAGATATTTGATTATTCTGTTGATAATAACACTAGTCAGAATTTTGCCAGCGATACTTAGAAGTGCAGTGCCATGGGAATTATCACATACAGCCTTTTTGCCTTTGTTCTTGAACAAATGTGTTATGCAAGCATCTTTGTAGTCTTGTGGAACAGAACCAACCTTCCATATGACATTAAAAGGCTCAAGGAGTTTCTTAATCAGTTTTCCTGCCATATTTAAAAAAACTTGGGGTCAATAGCATCTTTGTTTGAGGACAATTGCTTGATAGAATCCTGAATTTCCTTTTAGGCATGGCTCAAGAGACAACTGGGAAATTTCTGGTCACTGATGAATTGAAGCAATCATGTTTTCATCGATGGCAGAGGTAGAATTAAGGACACTTTCAAAGTGTTAATTCCATTTCCTTGTGGGCAGCACACCTTTTTATGGCCTTCATAGAATGCTTTGAGATCTTTTCTGTCAGCTACCACCTGGATTTCCACAGCCTTAGCAGAACACCAGGATTCTTTCATTTTTCTGAGAGCATTTTGCACTTCCTGCTTACACTGCTTATATATACATTTTTTTTGATGGGCAGTTTTTGTTTAAGAATATTTTGTGTGAATCGTGCATCTTCTTGACAAGATGTATCATTTACATCAAACCAGTCCTGATACTTCCTTATTCTTTGACTATAGTTATATTGGGATTAGTATTGGGCTTTTCATGTGGGAAAAGAAGCAAAAGGATGTTTAATATTGATCATACTTTGATTGCACGACATGATAGACTTCATTGAAACTTCTATTAGAATTTGCTAATTACTTCAGATATAAACATATGCATATACTTGTTTTTAATAGGTGTATTTCTAATACATGTCCCATCCCCTCCCCCCACGTAGATCCAAATTTATATTAAACTTTATTTGGCAGATTTGTGTATTTGTTCTTTGTCATACATGTAAATGTCTTTTCTCTCTCCTATAGGATGTTTCTCCAGGTTTTGTGATATGTTCCCCTGAGAATGTCTGTCACACAGGCAAAACATTCGATGCTCAGGTGAGTAGTTTCGTTATTCTGAAGGGTTTTTAATTAGGCACAAAAGTGGGGGTGCTCTCAGCCAAATATAAAGCTTTCCTTTCTGTTTTTATTTCAGTCTTTGATAAATTTTGCCTTAATTTACTTCAGTCAAACAATTTCTCCCTTTTTGTTTGTATTCCTATGCAATAACATAGAAATAATTATTTGTTGTTAGGTTTGTATAAGGTGATAAATAATTTCTTTCCTAAAACAAATATTTTGTGAATAATGCAGACTTCATATGATCTGAATAATTGTAAGTTATTGGAATGTGAAAGATTTCTACATTTTCTCAATATTTTAATCTAATATGTAGTTTTTCATGGTTTTAACTTAAGACTTGTCTATGTCACATTGAAACATTTATTCTTGTACAATCACCGAACTTGAGCATCGTCAAGCCTGATCAACTGATGGTTGACCACTCAGGAATACCAGGTGCTGCAAGTTTGGGTGTGCAGGTGGTGTAATGATTAACAGCTGTGAGTTGGAAAGCAGAGAGCCAAGTTCTATTTCCGTGCATGTTCGTTATATTCACTCACTTGCAAATACTCTTGGGAAACGTATGAATCTGTTTCTCTTCACCCGCCAAGCTATGGATAAATTATTATTGATAAAAACCCAGAAATTCTTACAATTTAAGGATATTTTCTAACTTTAAATAACCTGAAAAAGGTTGATAAGCCGTAAAACCAAATTTATGAATTTTAACTTAAAATTTTCAAAACAGAAAATGAAAAAGTAATTTTTCTTAGAACAGATACATTACTTTCTGATTACCTAATATGGCAAATCTTTTTCGTGGTACACTTAACTACCAACTTTAATGCTTTAGGGACACACAATTTTTGAGATAAGTATCAATTCCTCTCACCTCCCCATCTACCTATTAAAAGTACCTTTTATCTCTTAATGCATGTTTTAAGATACTTAAATTTCATAGCAATGCCAATAACCTCTTTTCTAACAGATCTGTTATTACCATGGGCTCTACAATGTTTTATCTTTTAATGTTTAGCAAGTGGCAAATCAATATTTCATGAGTTGAGTGACTTTCTGAATAGCTCTGTTAACTTAGAAGGAAATTGTAGTAGACACACATGCAAAGATCACAGTAGCCTTTTCATTCCTTGCAATGTGAAAACCTGGTTTAAAAGAACCCAGATTTTTAAATCGTACATTTTTGCATATTTGAATTCATGACACTTACAAATTTATTCATTTTAATTCACTTTTGTTTTTTTAAAAAAACTTAACCGAACAATTAAAGATTAAATATTTTGGATGGCTCGTTGCCTTAATGGAGGGTTAAGGATCACTGAAATTGTTTCTGATTATAGTGTTGCTCATAGGTAAATTAAAGTTCAATTCTGGCCATAGTTGCCTGGTATTGTTTTATGCCTCCCTGTATTCTCTTTTTTTTTTCCTCTGAAACATGAATGAAAATGCATATTTTTAGCAGCATTAGGTTCATTAAGAACTTATATAGGCATCTACTATAAAAAAAAAAAAAAAAAAGTCTTTATGCAGCTTAGGCATCAAAAGACTGGTTCAATAAGCAAATCATATTTACCATTACTTGAATCTTGAGAATGCTAATAGCTAGTCTAGAACATCTCAGTATCTAACCTGTGCCAACTGTAATGGACTGAAAAAGAAAGCAATACATTTTTTATTATTACTTGATAGACAATGAAAAATAGAATATAATTTAATGCCTGTTATGTTTCATACAAGATTAAATGTACAGCTAATTTAGTTGGATTGCAGTAAATGATCACATGAATCAATAAGTTAAGTTTGAAAAATAAGGTAATACAGGCCTATACTCTTGCATGTATATGTGCATACAAATGGCAAATACCATCCTGTGGTATATTACTCAATGCCTTGTACCTGTTGGCATGGTACATCAAGTGTTATGGGTGAGTTAAACAAATTGGGTATTGTCCCATCCTTCTGAAACAAGAGTTGGCTTGTGGCACTTTACAGCATGTTGTGAGCAAATACACTCTTAAGATTTAATCACTCTCTGGTGCATATAAAAAACAATCTTATACCTCTACTGGCAATGTGCACTGGGTTTTTTTTTTTTTTTTTTTTTTTTTAAATCTGGCTAGAGGCACACATTTTCATGGCTCTGCTGCAAATGAAAAATTCCAGACTGTCACTCGGCCCATCTCTTTAGCTCTTTGAAGGCCCACTATCCAACTCTCTGCAATCTACTTTGACAAGATTTCTTGTGCATCTGCATAGGCATGATAACACCTTGTACTGGAATCTTTCACTATGCTGAATCCAATCACACCATATATCAACATGTGACACTCACAAATACCTGATAGACTGCATCACAAGATGAATAAAGAATATACCTACCCACCCACCCCTCATATGTACATACTGTATACAACTCAAAGCTGTTTGAATTTTATTTTCTCTTGGTGTAATTTTAACACATAAAATTGCCAAAAATATCTGTTTACATTTCAGTTATCTTTTTATTGGGTAGATGCATGAGATATAGTACTTAGGTTTAAAAATGTGACTTTTCATAAAGTATTTCTTTTATTTAATGAGTAAATACTAAATATATCCTTTATATCCAGTAATTATTTCAATTTTAGGCTTTCAAATTTTGGCCTGTTCACAAATGTTCAAATTGATTTTTCTCCTTTTTATATCAGACTTATTTTAAGCTTCTCTGTATCACTGATATTTTTTACTTTTCTTTGTCAAAGAGTATCAGTTTTGTGATACAATAAAAATATAGATGTTGGTTAAGTAGCCATGATATGCTTTTAAAAATTGTGCACAAAATATTTGATATAACACTTAGTGATAATTTTTCTCTCACCACTAATATTTTTACTAGAACAAAAACAATTTGCACAGTTTTGGTTTTGGTGGTAGACTAACCTCAATATATGCCATATCAAAGAAAGTGCGTGTAAAAGTTCTTTGGCTAACCCATTTCCCAAGTGACCAAATATCAAAGTTGTGTGTTTTTTTTTTTTTTTTATTCCAGAGTTTTTCATTACCTCAAAGATGGCACTGAAAATTAAATTATCCATTTTTTATAACATTATACACTTATAAGTCAAAACATATCAAGTATATAAATTGTTATAAAAATTTTTTATTTTTTTTTTAATTCTATCATATCCTAATATTTTCTTTTACTTGTAGATTGTTATTTTAGAACACAAATCCATTATTTGTGCTGGGTATAGTGCTATTCTACATATCCATGCATGTGCAGAAGAAGTCACTATCAAGGTGAGTTTCTTTTTATTCTTTTTCTCTCTCTTCCCCCATCTATTTATTTTGATTCTTTACAATAAACACCATTGTCCTTCTAAAAAACACAATTGTCCTTCTAAAAAACACAATTTTTCTATATTTAAAAAAAAAAATCCACTGGTTATTTTGTTATTGATGATGGTGGATGTTTTAATTTTTGGCAGTTTTGTTTTATTGGTAACATGTATTTGTAGTTTTCTATATTGTAACCAATTTCATGTGAGCTGTCATCTTTGCACCAATTAGGTCTTCTCATGGGCCCACCACTTTTCTCCTTGTTGATTTTTCAACTTGTGAGAGCATTTTCCACCTAGAGCGTTAGCTTCATTCATCTCACCCATTACAGACCTGTTGAAAGAGCAGTCCTCATATTGTCTGTTTTGTTGGATTTCTTTTTCTCTCTCCACTCAATCACTTGCTCATTACTATTTGGTTGAGGAGCTGATGTTTTCACAACTTCCTTGCCACCACGTTGCCTGAAGATTTCATATTTTTTACAAAAACAGATTGTTTTTATAAACTTCTCTTTTCATATGTCACAGATTGGTGTGATAATATTCAACTTGGCCTTATAACATCAGTTGTCCACTGGTACTTTCCAGTCATTATTGTCATTTCTAGCATTGTTTTACTTTTTGCAAGCTCTGAAGTTAATAAACACTTCTAATTTTAAATTGGCCTTGTGATCCATTTAAATTTCAAATTGGCAATTTATTTGTGATGTGAATTCTTTACATTTAATACAAAAATGGCTTCTCTTTGTTACATCAGAAGAAATTGGCTCTCCTAAATGTTACAAATCAATATGAAGTAGCTAATGAGTAATATGCATGTATGTAAATGTTAGGAATCTCCTGTCAATTTTGCTGAGGATCTAACAATTCAATCCTAGAATTGAGCTGCCAAATTACCTACACACAAATTTTGAATTTGGCTGTCCTCCTAGACTTGTTGCCAACCAAGGCTAAAGAGCCCAGTCTGCCTTGTTGGGGTAAAAAAAAAAAAAAAATGATCTTTCCCAAGGGTACTTGTGAAAGTGATTGCAACACGCTTAACTGGAATTTATCAATTTCTTGTTCTGGGCTGCTAACCATTACACCACATGTGTATGTATGTGCACGCACGCACACCATTTATGCCATAAATTTTGGTAGCACTATCTTTTGATAATTTATTTTAGGATAGAATACTTTATCAGACTGAATCATAAGTTTTTTGTTTTTTTTTTTACAAACCAACTGTAATGAATGTATAATGCTAACTACTGAAGCAGTTAAGAATAAATTTGTAGTAGACTGATATTTAGCTTTCACATTACAATGTCGGTGTACAAGGTGGATTAGGGGGAAAATGTTATTGACAATCCAAGGCTGCATGCAGGGAAAACATTTTGGGGGTTTGATTTGTCTGTTCTACTCTACCTGCACATCCCACTTTTTTTTTTCTTTTTTTTTTTTTTTAAACATCAAAGCTTTTGAGTAAAATTCTGGAAGTTATCAGAAAGCTGCCTAATAGACAACAGGTCATTGCAAATGATGCTGAATATATAATTCAACAAACAATCAAGCTTTATTTCATGAAGCTTAAAGTTAAAATTGGAAATGTAAAAAAAAAAAAAAAATTTTTTTTTTTTTTTTTTTTCTCAATGATTTTGTTGCTTATACACTTGCAGCATTTACTGTGCTTAATTGACAAGAAGACTGGTGAGAAGACCCAATTAAAGCCTCGATTTATTAAACAAGATCAGGTTGGCCTTGCACGGATACAAGTGAATGGTGGAATGATCTGTTTGGAGTCTTTCAAGGATTTCCCCCAGATGGGACGTTTCACGCTTAGGGATGAAGGTAACAAATAAGTAACGCTTTACCAGTTTCATTTCTTAATTGTAACCACATTTTCACACACAATTGCAGAGGTGCCTAAGAGTTTCATATGGTTGATTTGATTTATTAATTCATACATAGAAACCATTAAGAAAATATGCAGGGTGCTTCAAAAATAGGTATACAGTAAGTATTGCCAGAGTGGTTCTAGGTTTCATTAAAATCGTTTTTACTATTTTTATTGTAATACATTTACCTGCAAAACATTTTTAAAAAAAATAAACTGTTTGAACATTTGGGCATTGATTATACAAACATTTTGTGTTCATCATATGTATACCTACTTAGCATTCCCCTGTATTTACAAATATAGAAGGGTTGTTTTCTTTTCTTCTCTCTCTCTTGTTGGCATTTTATTCTCCTTCTGTATAACAGTAAAAAAATTTCATTATTAGAAAAGGAATGTAATTATTGCCATTGATTGGAAAATTTTTTTTTTCTTTACAGGAAAAACTATTGCCATAGGAAAGGTGTTGAAAGTGATAAGAGATTAAATTGGAGCAGCTCCAAACTCTGCCCCCAACGAAAAATTAAGATTCTGGTTAAGAAAAGGAAAAAAGCAAGCAAAAAACCTGCTATATCAACATTCAACTCATTTCTGATTCCACTTCTCTTCACTCCTGACCGATTCCCCCCCCCCCCCGCGCGACTCTCTTCTCCTGCTCCCCCACCCCTATGTCTCTATCTTTTAATTCTTGAATCTGGAAATGCATGAATGATCTGGAACAAGTTTGGAGGACAGTAGCTTGGAACTTCTTTGCTCCTATCTCCAGGCTGACTCTTAGTTAGCATGGGTTAACCATTCTTGCAACAAAGAAAGGAAGCAACAATAACAAAAAAGACAGCAGTTTTTGCCTACTGTCTAATTAATAAAGAAATTTTAAAAAATTAGACTTTTTTTTTTTTTTTTTTTTTTCAGGTCACAAAATTCACCTTTGAGTTTTAACTTTAAATTGAAACTTTTTTTTTTTTTTTTTTTTTTTTTCAAGTTTTTATTTTTATCCCTCATTTTTAATATTCTTCATCTTTTTTTCTTTTTTTAACAAAGATCACCGTTTATAAACTATTACCCCTAATGTTTGATTTTGTAAAGTCCGGATTCTTTCATTGGAGATGGAATGTTCAAGAAATTCCTGCATTATGTAAATTATTCTGTTACATCCAAGGACATGCTTAATTGCCTCCTTATTTGTGTCCAACTTTTCATGGCTTTTAAACATTAAATTTCTCATCAGAATCTGGAAAATTCATAAGGTGCTGAAATGTTTTCTTCCTACCAACATCTATAAATGTGGCCAGGTGCCTCCCACCCTTAACAATTATTGCCACTTTTCATGGACACTAAACAAATTTATATGAAATATTGGCAGAATGATTTAGACATTTTTAAAATCCTTATACGAAATTTTTTCCCCCTCTTCACTATTTTCATCAGTTTTCTTTTCACATCTTAAAACATCTGCTTAGTATATTCTAGCAAAACTTATTTCTTACAGTTTAATGCATAATTTTTTTTTTTTTCCAATTAATAGTAATTTGTCTTCAGGCTGTAGGTGATCTTAACTGAATTGTCATGACCATCTTGGTATATTCAGAGTTGGTATTAGTAACAGCTGGTCTATAAGGACAAGGATGCTCTGTCTGCTCTATTAACCTATAGCTTGTGGGTACATACTTTCCATTTCCAAGGCCATTACTATGCAGTGGTTATGACAATATTACCTGTTGCCTTATAAGGGAACATTTACCATTCATAGGCCAAGCTGTGTCATTAAAATTTACAAAATCGTTCTTAATGCTCAAGAGTAGGTATTTGCTCTTTCCAGTATTGATATGGGATTCTTTCCTACCCTTTTATTATTTTAACTTTTAATTTAACATTTTGGTTATCATTATTTTCTCTTAGAGTTGCATGTGATATCCATTTTTAGCTGTTTGTTATTTGTGATTCTGTAGCACCAATCCAGAAGGTTTGGAGAAGGATGGTCTTTGCCACGATCCACAGACTTCACTTGCTCAAAGCCATTTTTAACCATTGATCTTAGAAGGTATTTGCATATTTCTGGATAGGTTTGGTGCTGTAAGTGATATGAAAGTCTCAATTATAACTGATCCATACAACAGGTATGTGTTTGGTATTATATAATTCCACATCCTGAAATTTTATGATAGATTCAGGATAAATGCCATCGCTGCTTTCAATCTGATTCCAGACCATTGTTTCTGTTTTGTTTTTTCAATACTCTTCCTTGGGAAACTTGAATGTGTGTTGTTTTTTTGTTTTTTTTCTTCTCTTACTAATTATGCTGTCCATAAAGACAATTACACCTGGAATAGTAGTGGTGTTAAAGATTGTGTTGTAAGAAATATTGGTAAGTAGCTTAAAAGCCGCCCTATCACAATAGGAATGGACGAGTAAATGTAATAGGCAACAATAAACTACAGAAGAACTTAAATGCAGTGGTAAATTTTAAGTATTGCATTAATATTTAAGCTTACCATCAAAAATTAAACAATAATTCTGCTGCCACTTAATTTAAAGGCAAATTTTATGTATGTAGGTCCTTACTTTCTGTACAATTTTTATTTCATGGGAGGATTTTGCAATTTTTATTTCCAAGTTATAAAATTATCATCGAAAAAAAGATTTTGTGCAAATAATTGCCAAAAACAATTGCAATAATGAAAACTTAAAAAAATTTCAGAATGTTTTTTATTTACTAACAGTCGGCCTGATTCCAAAATGGTATACATTAGGCTGAAGCCTCTACGAGTAAAGTTGGAAAAGTGTGACAATGATGCACTGATATTCACATTTATTATATAAAAGTATACCATTTTTTAATAGCCATAAACTTGTGGTACACAAGGAGCTAATTTTTAAAACAACTTTAGGTGAAATCAAATTGTAATAAAGACACCTAAATTTAAATTACATGCTCTCAAAATTTCATCAATAAATATTGTCAATTTTTGTACAATTTTGATAACTGGCTAATATTTGAAGTTATTTTAAGCCATCCCTCACCTCCCACACATGAAAAAAAAATGGTATTCACAACTCAAAACCAACCCTCCCAAATAAGTGAAAGAAAAGGGTGATATTAAATGCTGTATTAAGTTCTCAAGGATCCATTACTTGGAAGTTTACTGCAGATGTTTGGGGGGGGGGGAATCAACTATATCAAATAAAAGGAAAAAAATATATGTGAATTTGAAACTGAGTGGGTTACTAATAATAGTGAATTGGTTTTAAATAAATACCTTTTTTATATATTTTAACAATATCTAAGCTTTTTTTGATTAAATTCTCTTTAACTATCATAATTTCAATTACACCCTCTTTCCCCCCTCCCAGTTTGCAATATTTCAAATAGATATATATGCTGTGATTAATAATGAAAACAATATTGGCAAGGAAGTTTTTTTACTAAATATAGATGATCCATTGAAAGAATTAATCTCACAATTTGCTACACTTTTTATTTTTCTGATGAAAATATTCAAATGTATACCACCATTTTTTATAAGTGTTGAACTGTTGGTACCAACAACTTTACAAAGTAAGCCAATCAATCAACCTCAATAGCATTTGACATCGTATGAGTACTTTGTTAAATGTTTTCTATCCTCCCTGGTCTACTAGGCCATGCTCCCTGCAAGCAATGCTGGGTCTCTACAATTTCCTATCCTTGTAGTACAGCAATTTTGTCTCCACCTCCCTTACTCCATTTACATAAGCACATTGAGTAAGTTAATTGCCTTCAATATGCCCCATTCATTACATATCCCATAAATTTCAGCTGTCTCTTTCTAATCTTAAATGAAAATGTATATTTAATTCACGTGTCCCTTAAATCTTTTACGTGTTCCATCTCTGCTATTACCAGCACCCCTCTGTAGAAGTACAGCACTGTTGCCTCACCTGTAAGGAAATTGCCCAGCACTTAGCTGTTTTCATTTAAAATTTCATATTGATATTTTGTTTAGTGCTGGAAGGCAACTTTCACTCTGACGATGTGCCTTCAGATTTCTCGCATTTTCCATCATGTTATAACACTTCTGAACTTGATTGTCTTTTGAGATCTCCATTTTATAGTTTGCATCTTGAACTGTCCTGTTTGCTAATGACCATATACTGCCACCTTACAACTGATAGTCCTTTCTTCTCACTTTCCTACTTTGTCTAGAAGTATTTGTGTCAATTTTCATTATAGTTCATTGACATATCTAATGTCAATACCCACCAATAATAAATTAGAATCTCTAACCTTAAGATTCTGCCTAGTTTATAGTATATTTAAATCTTCCATCTTAGGTTTTTTTTTTTTTTTTTTTTGTATTCTAAGTGTTACAAGAACAAGTAATAATGAATTTCTCTACAATTGGAATGCTAAAATAAATCTCCATAATGTCAATAAATTTTAGAAAATTTTGGCTTTAAATTTACTATAGTTATTGCTCTTGTTTTTTGTTAATGTAATTGTATGGATTACTGTATCTACAAAAACCGGCACATTTATAAACATACAATTTTTTTTTTTTTTAAATATTGGTGTTTTAGGGTTTGTACTAAGCTTTTCCATTGATTAGTAAATATAGTTTTTACTTTATATCTAAGAGTGAAATTAATACAGAATTTTAAGATTTAAAACTTTAATTATTCTAATTAAAATTTTAAATGAAAATTGTAAAAATTCATCAAAAAAAAATTTTTTTTTTTTTTTTTTTTTTTTAGTGTCCTTAATATATCTTTTAGAAAAGCAATTAAAAGCTTTCTAATTAAATAATGTCAGTTTTATTGCCTTTTTTATTTTACAATTCAGCATTTTTTTTTTTTTTTTTTTTGTAAATGTTATGTTTGACTAAAACAAAATGATTTTTTAATTTTTCCAAGGAGTCAGCTTTTCATTAATATGTAGAGAGTGAACTATAATTTGAAATTTCATAGAATTAAATGGGTGAAATATATATTATATATAAATTCATGAAAATTTGACTTTGCAAGAATTTCCTAAACACCATATACCACCACCACAAAAAAAAAAAATTCTAAATTTCCCATACCAATCCAATTTTGGCCCACTGCTGATATAAGAAAAACAGGATTTTGAACATTGAAAATTTTATTAAATTTTTCTAAGTACTTTGGTATTTCCTCTTAAACATTTTGACAAAACTTTTTTTTTTTTTTTAATTTGGATCCTTTTTCACCATGGTATGGTATGGTATGCTTCTTAAGTGAATTTTGGAATTTACTTTTGTAGATAAAAATTAAAAAGAAAAGCTTATTTTAAACAGGCTTTTTTTTTTTCCATAGATTTTGATAGTTTTCTAATAAGTGGTTATTTTTTCATAAATATAAATTAAATCTAAATGAATTCAACAAAAATAGTTGACTGATAATCTTTATTCTGCAAATAAATGAAACTATATTGTGTAGATTTGTGAAAATTATAGTATTCTGTACAGTTATTTTTCAAAGCTTCATTTA